GAAAGGTGGTGTTTTACCTGCTCATCCAGCGCAGACCCCTCTTCTATGTCATCAACATCATCGCCCCCTGTGTGCTCATTTCCTCTGTCGCCATCCTCCTCTACTTTCTTCCTGCCAAGGGTACCTGGGCCCGTGGGAGGGGGCAGCACAGAGGCCCATGGGGAGGCCCTGCTTGTGGCACAGGGTGGCACCGCAATCCTAGGACAAGGGCAGTGGGCTTCCTGTAGAGTAAGGGGGTTCCTTGGGGTGTGTGTGTGGGGGGGGAGGGAGAGACCTGTTCTGAGGGCATCTTGGTCACGGGCAGCGGGCGGCCAGAAATGCACAGTGGCCATCAACGTGCTCTTGGCCCAGACTGTCTTCCTTTTCCTCGTGGCCAAGAAGGTGCCTGAGACCTCCCAGGCAGTGCCGCTCATCAGCAAGTAAGGCTAGTCCTCACACTGGCTTCCCACCCCTCACCAACTGTCCTTGGGGTTTGGGGTGGGGTTGGGGGTGGGGGCGGGGGTGGGGTGGAGCCCATGGCCTTGCTAAGCAAGTGTTTTACCAGCGGGCTATCCTCGATACACTCCTTCCCTTCCTGGGGCTTTTGATGTGACCTTCCACAAGGGAACCCAAGGGAAGCAGAATGGCAGCACCCGGGTCTGGGGTGCTTAAGGGACATTTAGCCTCCTGCTTGCCTGACCCTGGACAGGTACCTGACCTTCCTCATGGTGGTGACAATCCTCATCGTGGTGAACTCTGTGGTCGTGCTCAACGTGTCCTTGCGGTCCCCCCACACACACTCCATGGCCCGGGGGGTCCGCAAGGCAAGACACTTTCCTGCCCACTTGGGCATCCATCTGTCCTTCCCAACCACGTGTGACTCCCTCCACCTCTTTGTACCCATTCGGCAAATTCAGCCACAAATCTATGCCATCTTCAGGCCTAAAGTTGGTGAACAATAACATCAGTGCCCAGGGACATTAATATTACGTGTACTAACTTACTTACTCTTTATAAAGCCCCTTAAATGGCCGCTGGTGTATCGTCTCCACATTAACAGAGAAGGAAACAGGCTCAAAGAGGTTAATCAGCTTACCCGATATTACCCAGTTCCCGGAAGGCAGAGGAGAGAGGATTCTGTCCCGCTGTCTGTGTTCTGCAGTCCACCTGCAGCAGGCAGCTGAGAATTGTGTTACAAAATTCTTGAGGTATATCCCAGGTAGCTCAGACTATTCTAGGAGGGAGCAGAGGGTAAGAGTTTGTTTTAGATAAGTGCTCTGGTGGTTCTGAAGGTCACAAAAGCTTGAAGCCCAGGTTCTGTGTCCAGGAAAACATAGTCAAGCGGTACCAGGACCCAACTACTGCCTCTAAGGCACTGCCTTCACGCCCATTCCCAAGCTTGGCCTGGCTGCCCAAGCAAGCCCTACCAGAGCAACCCGTCTACAGGTGTTCCTGAGGCTCCTGCCCCAGCTGTTACGGATGCATATGCGTCCTCTGGCCCCTGCTGCTGTCCAGGATGCCCGGTTGCAGCGGTTCCAGAATGGCTCCTCCTCCTGGCCCATCATGCCTCAGGAGGAAGGGGGCCTCTGTCTGCCTCACAGTGAACTCCTCTTTAGGCAGAGGCAGCGCAATGGATTGGTGCAGGCAGTACTGGAGAAGCTAGGTGAGGCCCAAGGGGCACCACTGGGACAATCCTGACCAGTGAATGCAGCTGGAGCTGGGCACAGTGTTCCAGTTGGAGAGAGGGGTGGGTGGGCTCTCTGGGGAGAAGCCACATCACTGCTCTCTTCCATTGACTCTATTTCCCCACCAGAGAATGGTCCAGAAATGAGGCAGAGCCAGGAGTTCTGTGGCAGCCTGAAGCAAGCTTCCCCAGCCATCCAAGCCTGTGTGGATGCCTGTAACCTCATGGCCCGAGCCAGACACCAGCAGAGTCGCTTTGATAGCGTAAGTAGGGCAGGGCGGGCAAGTACCCCAAGTGTAATGTGGGGATAGGATGAATGGGGTGTTCAGCTTAGGCTCAGGGACGGAAAAAAGCAGAGCTGTCAAGTGGGAGGAGGAGGAGGGACCACCAGGCCAGGGACCATGAAAGAAGACCAGTTAGAACCTAGACAGAGGTGAGAAGACTGAAGGACAGAGAATGGAGGCCAGCTGGGGACCTAACAGTGATAGCGAGAGCCAGGTGTGGCCCTGGTCACACCCCTGCTGCACACGATCTATTGTTGCCCTTAGGGGAATGAGGAGTGGTTCCTGGTGGGCCGTGTGCTAGACCGAGTCTGTTTCCTAGCCATGCTCTCCCTCTTCATCTGCGGCACCGCTGGCATCTTTCTCATGGCCCACTACAATCGGGTACCTGACCTGCCATTCCCTGGGGACCCCCGCCCTTACCTGCCTTTGCCAGGATGAGCCAACAGATTACTCCTGGGTTCCGGAGTCAACTATGTGGGTCGTGCTGCTTATGGAGATGTATTCTGTGTTGACCCTGCGTGTGCTTCTTGCGAAGTGCCCAAACATTCCTGGGAGAAGATAGAGAAATAAAGACACAGAGAGGGAGTTCTGGAATGGTTGGTGATAGGTGTGGTCATTCACAACTTTGGGACATCCATGTGGCAATGGCTGGCTCCTACTGGCACCAGTCTTCCTGCATTCCTCCCACTTCAGCAGAGCATTGCTGATAAGTCACTTTGAAGCCCCAAGGACTCTGCTATCAGGATGTCATTGGCTGGGCAAAGTCTTACCCTTTGAGGCCTGACAATATTTCCTCCTGCCTTTCTGTAAGGTTTTTTTTTTTTTAATTATTTTAACTAGGTGTATGTATGTATTGGGAGTAGGTTATGTGCACATGAGTGAAGGTGCCTGTTGGAGGCCAGCTAAGGGTGTCAGAACCCTGGAGTTGGAGTTACAGGTGGCAGTTAGCAACCAGACAGTGTTGGTGCTGGGAAGAGGACACCTGTCCTCTACAAAAGCATCAAGTGCTGTTAACCACTCAGCTATTTCTCCAGCTCTAGCATCTTCCCTTTTGTGAACTTTCTCTAGAAGAAGAGCTGTGCGTGGTGGAGCATGCCTTTAATCCTAGTACTAGGGAGGCAGAAACAAGCCACTCTCTATGAGTGTGAGGCCAGCCAGTCTCAAAAATAAAAAAATAAAATAAAAAGAAGGGGATGTGATATGGAGATAGCTCAGTGGTTAAGAACACTGGCTTTTCCCCCCAAGGGATCTGGGTTCAATTTCCAGGACCCACTTGACAGCTCACAGCCATTGGTAGCCCCAGGCAATCCAACACTCTCCTCTGGTTGCTGCAAAACAGCCATGCACACAGCGCAGACGTGTGCACAGGCAGGACACCAATATACATAAAGTAAAAATAAACTTTTTTTTTTAAAAAAAAGTGTACTAGGGGGCTGGGGAGATGGCTCAACGGATAAGAGCACTTGCTACTCTTCTAGATGACCCAGGTTCAATTCCCAGCACCCACAAGGCAGCTCACAACTGTCTGTAATGACAATTCCAAGGGATCTGACACTTTCACACAAACATGCAAACAAAACACCAATGTACCTGTAAAAAAAATAATTAAAAAAAATATATTTTTTAAGCCGGTATAGTGGCACATGCATTTAAACCCAGCACTCCAGAGGCAGAGGCAGGTGGCTCTTTGTGAGTGTGAGGCCAGCCTGGTCTACAAAGCCAGTTCAGGATAGCAAGGGATGTTACACAGAGACACTCTGTCTTGAAAAACTAAAACAAAACAAAAGTGTACTAGGAGCTGGGGTGTAGGATATAAGTAAGTCTTGGCTTTCCTGAAGTCCAGAACTTAGACCATTTCAGCTAGTATGTCTCTTTTGAATGCCACAGCATCAAATATGTACCTTCAGCAGTACCGTCTCATTCATTTGATACAATACTTCCCTCCATTGATCACAAAAGATGTCTTCAGTGTTACTATCTTTTTTTCCATTGTTAGAAATGCTTCATATTATGAACAGGCAAGAGCCACTGATTCACTGACCCCCGTTTCACATGGGCAATCTGAGGTCCAGAATAAGAGGAACTCGCTAGAATACTTCTTTAGGGTTCAAATTCGCAACTCTGATCCAATCTTAGGCACTGCAAAATTCCTAGCCCTGAAAATGCACCTCTCTCTTCTTCAAAGTCAGGGTACTTGAAGGGCTAGGACCAAAGCTATTGGGCCCGACTGTAGAGCTCCCTCTGTCTTCCTTGGTACAGTGTATCCGGAAATAGGATGAAACCCTGAGGTCTTCCTGAGGAGAAAAACATGACCTTGCTGAGTGCCTAGGGGGCAACCATGGGTCAGTCCAGGGAGACAGTTTCCTCGCTACTGGTGACTCTAAGGAAATTTCTAACAATGGACTATGTTCAGCAGATGGGTCAGGAAAATGCGCAGCTAGTGGCTTTGGATTTCCATCACCAACCAGGGAATTTATTTACTCCGGTGTATGTGATGTGTTTTAAACAATCCTTAGGAGTGTGGGGCAAAGGCTTCAGTTGAGGACGGAGACCATCTCGGCTCTCCGTAAATGCCTTTTGTCACCCTGGCTCGACTCCCCCCACCACGCCACCATTCAACCAAGAGAGGAGAGTCGCAAGCATCCCAGGCTGTCCTCGAACTGTTTGTTGGTCAGTCTGGTCTGGATCTTCCTGCCTCCACTTCCCAAGAGCCAGGATTACAAATTTTTGGGGGAGTACTTTCTCGTCCTCTCCCAACACCGAGAGCAAAGGGTCAGCTCTTAGAGATGAACACTTGGTACATTTACTACGGGGTACTGTGTCTGACATTTCCCCTGGAATCTACGGTGAGGTTAAAGCAGAGGGCCGGCTGCATAGACAGCGCTCACGCTGCGCTAAAGCGACCGCGAAAAGACCAGACCCAGACGGACTGCGCCCGTGTGGCGCAGCTCTCCTGGGCCGCCCGTCAGGGAAAGCGGCCCGGCACAGGGACTGCGCGCCGACGTTCCGCTGAGCGCCTCGCCAACCGGAAGTAGCCGGGCCTTTGGCGAAAGGACCCGGTAGAGCGGAAGTCACTCCGTGAGGCAGTGGCGACAGCGGCGGCGAGAGGATGAACAACAAGTTCGACGCGTGAGTGGCGCGTGGCCGCCCCCGGGACCCCTTCCCCCAACCGTCCCCCGGGACCGCTCCCGCCGGGGCCGGGGCGCGCACTCAGCCGAGCCGCTCGCTCCCGGGCCGCCGAGGCCCGAGCCTCCTTGCGCCCGCGGGCCCGACGGGGCCGGGAGAGCGCGGCCGAAGTCGCCGGGACCCCTGAGCCGCTGGACCCCGGCGCGGCGCGGGCCGGGGGAGGGGAGGCCGCGCCGCCCGGAAGGAGATTTTCGGACGCCCCGCCCTGGTGGGTGCGGGCTGCCGGCGGCGTGGAGGGGCGGGACCTCGGCGCTTCGGGTGCTTCCGCAGCCTTGCTGCCTTCTCTCTGAACGCGGCTTCTCTCCCGCACTCGCTCTGCGTCCTGGGAAGGTCACCTCTCCCTTCTGAACCTCGGTTTTGTCTTCTGCAAGCGGGGACGGTAACAGAGCCCGTGTCGTAGAATTGGGCAGCTGCGATGAGGTAATGGGGCAGCCGCGATGAGTACTGTGGCCTCTCAAGTACGGAATGCATTTCATCTAATTGAGATTCTTCCTGCTTCCTCCCCCACCCCGTTCCTGTCTTCCAACTCTTAGTGGCTGCTCACTCCTGCATTCTTTCCAAGTATCCACTCTCATCCCTAATTCCAGCATCGACAGTTGGGAAGTACAGAGAAGAAATATAAGTGTTTTTTGTTGGGGGTGGGGGGTGGGGAGAGGATTCCCCTCCTAACCATTATATCTTTTTGCATTTAAAAATAATTTTCGTTTTCATTTAATAGCACTTAAGTTAGTATTTCACAAGAATTGTGTGCTTCGAAAGATTGTAGTAATCCCTTCTTTCTCTTCTTTATAGTCTTTCTAGGTCTTATTGAAAGACCTACATTTTTAGTTTTGGCGCACCAGCTGTTTGACAGTACAAAAGTTCTCTAGTCTGAATCATTGATCTAACCTCTCTAGTGGTTAGAACTCGGCCGGAAGGACCAGATCACACTCTACAATGCTTAGAGGTCCTGTGTAAATGCTGAGACCGAGGTGTGAAGGTAAAGTGGAACCACTGATACGTGGCGAAGCTTCGGTTTTTCAATGCAGTGAGTTCTGATGTGCAGAAGTACGGGGATTGGGACTCCAGCAGGCAGGGCAGCTCTTCCGCAGGTTTTCCTTGGTGGCTGAAAGAGAGCTCTGCTTCTTGAGGAAAGCTGATGTCTTCTCCATCATGCTGCTTTGCTGAGCCCAGCAGGATAGTGACCCTTTGGTCTCCCATCTTACATCTAGCTCCACACCTGAGCCCTTCCACCTTTCTTCTTGTTTGAACAAGTCAAACTGCATCCCAAGAAGATAGTTTTTCGGTCATCTGTCTTGAATAAGGATTGTTACATTGGCCACTGTTTTGTTACTATGAAGAGAACAATTTATGATACATGTTCTTCAAGGCCACACCCCCTAATCTTTGTAATTCTTTCAAATAGTTCTCCTTCGTGACTGAGCATTCAAATATATGAGCCTATGGGGGCCATTCTCATTCTAACCAGCACAGGCATCTCTAGATTTTTTAAAAACTTTTTTTAGGTTAGCATAGAAAGTAACATTCCATTTGACTCTTTCACACTTAGGAAGTTTGTCCTCGTTATTTCCTGTTTCCCACTGTACTCCTGCGTGGTCCCTCTCTACCTGGTTTCTTTTCTTCTACTTGCTCCCCACTTCTGTTTTCCTATTATATTTATTATATTGCTCTCTATTTCTCACTATCTTCTTCATAGTAACTCTGCAAAAGAGATCTTACAGTTAAGGAAAATAGGCTTTTCAAGGCTAAGCAACGCTCAGGTGTGCTCTTCAACTTTGTTCGTGAGTGTCTTTATCAACATTTTGCTGGGGTTTTAATTACTTGTGACTACTAGTTGTTGTAAGTAGTATCTTTTAACACCTGCCTTCTAACTTTGCAGAAAACAAACAAATAAGCAAAAAAGCTTGCTGTCATTTTAAATTAGCAATTAAAGATGATCTCCTTGTCCCTAGTTTGTTTTTGTCATTTCGGATTTTCATGTGAAAAGCAGTTTGTAGTGTTGTTCAATATTCACTGTCTGTACTCTTTATCACATTCCCTGAAATTTTCCAGAATCATTCCAAGTGCAGTCTCCAGTGAATGCAGTAGTATGGTCTAATGGACATAGATTAAAGAGGCGTTCTAATGTCCTTTAATATGTGGGCTCTGCTTCTGTGAGTATAACCAAAGCTTTAAAGGGTGGTCATTAGTCTCACCAAGTGGCTAGGTCTCCCTGCCTTTCGTGTTATTAAGTTATAAAACTGTAAGATGCTCTCTCAAGAACTACAGCCCCAACTATAGTAAACTTGGTTTTCAGGTCTTAGGTTTTTGGAGGCTTGATTTGGTCCCTATTTTACATGGGTCCCTTTCTATAATTAGCCTTTGGCCTATTTTTTAACTGTTTCTAAATTACCTAATTTGAAATCATTTTGATTTTTAGAGCTCTGTTCAGTAAACATGTTTGTTTTATGTTTGTGCCTGATGCTTGAGATACAGTGGAGTATTAGATCAAGTTTCTACCTGCACAGAATTAGTCTTGTCAGAGGGTGCTGGGAAGTACCTGGATAGCAGCTTGGAGAGCTAACCCAAATGGTTAGTGTGGACATGAACTGGGCAGCTTGAGTCTGTGGGGTGCTGCTGCTCAAATCCAGCTTCAGGCTGGGAAGAACAGCTCCTGAAAAGCAGGTTGTAAACCTTTTCCTTAGGTGTAGGTGCAGAGAGCAGGTTAGTTGCTTAACTTCTTCAAGAAGTAAAAGCAGGCCTGGTGTGGTTGTGCACGCCCTTAATCCCAGCACTCAGAGGCAGTTGGATTTTTGTGAGTTCAGTGCCAGCCTGTGTAGTGAGTTCCAGGACAGCCAGGGCTACACAGAGAGACCCTTCTCATAAGACTGGGGGGGGGGGGGGCAGGGTTCAAGGAAAGAGAGAGAGAGAGAGAGAGATTGAGTTATTGGTAAAGTCCTTGTTTCCCATGAAGAAGTTTCTGGGTTCCATTATCAGCATCACCAAACTAAGACAAAGTCCAGAGCATAAAGACAAAAAAATGAGTTCTACTAAAGTTTCTATTTTCTGGCTTAGAAAGGAGTCCAAGATGGCCTTGGAATGTTAATAGCATTGTTTTTTTCTCTACCTTAATTGTTTTTGTTTTCTTTTTGTTCCCTAGTAGTGACTGAAAAAATCACTAGGAAAGAAAAGAACAAAACATTTTTATTGGGGCTGGTAAAAAATGGGAGATCCAAGGTCACTGCCCTTCTTCAACCAAAATCTAATAAAGGGACCTCAGAAGCTATAGTAGGGGTTAGGAGCTGAAAGGAAGACAAAAGGGTTTGAGTCCCTAGAGGATGTGCTCTACAGAGGAGAATAGTTTGGGGCTCAAGCAGTAGAAAAATCCATGAGATATTCTTGATTATAATACGAAAATTGGCCTTGACAGTACAACCAGGACAAGCATACATGTTTGTATTATTCAGAGCAGAAGAGGGAAAGTTGGCTTAACCTATATTGGGAGAGAGTAGGGGATGTTTCTAAGAGAAAGTGAATCCTGAAGAGCAGTAAACCAGGAGTAGAGGCTGACTCCATGCTGAACATGGAAGGGGTAGGCAGAGATGGGGAAACTGTACTTAGGAGTGGACATGCAGGAGTGGAGCGTGTTTGTTGGGTACAGGCAGATTTTCCTGGGACATGCAAACAAATTTGGCCTTTGCACCAAGTTGAGGCTTTATACGTCTTATCTCCCCAGTTCCTTGGGAGAGCCACTCTGGTAGCCAGTGAGATGCTTGGTAAATGTGGGTAGTTTTTAATTCGTGGGGCTTGTGTCCAAGAGAGGCTCATCTTGAAAAGGAAACTAAGCAATACAAGTTTAATCAAGGGAAAGGAAGTTTTGTAAACACTGATGATGGCTCTAATAAGCCAGATGGCTGTGTGACCACATCTCCTCTTCACTTGCCGTGCTCATCACTTCCGTTCTCCTTTCTCTGAACTACCCCTTGTTTTGCTCTGAGTCCTGATTCTTTCATTTACCCAAAAGCTGTTCCAGTGTCTGAATTGTTAGTCTTTGCTCTCCTGGAGGAAATCAATGCAGAGAGAGGGATCCGTATTTTGATGAAGGTTCTGAGGCATAGATTTTTAGGCTGACTGGATTTCTTTGCTTCTATGCCTTACCTAGTTGGGTCTTGACCAGGGTGGGGAAGTCTCTGTCACAGGGAATGGCCACCTGAGTATGTCCTGCAGTATGGCTACCACATGGGCAGAGCAGTACCCCAAGACATAGGATGGCTTATTCATCTTGCTATTTATAGGTGCATTTTATGTGTTAGGCATTAAAAATTTGTAGACAGACAAAAAAACAAAAACCCACAACTTTCTAAATGCAAAATCCTATACACCACATTTCTTTGTTTATTTAGGATGATGTCTGTGTACAACTGAGGTGTTTCTGGTGCCCATCTTGAAAATGCCTGTTTCCATCTTTCTGTACATACTGTATGTCATCAAACCCAAAAGATGATTCTGCAGAAAACGTATGGGTGAATGTTCTAATTCTAGAGTGAATGCCATTCTGTCTCTTCTTTTTTTTCTTTTTTCCATTTTCTTTTTAAAGTATGTGTACAGAGGATAGAGAACAACTTAGCAGTAGTCGGTTCTCATTCTAATTTGTAGGTTCTAGGGATTGAACTCAGGTCTGCAGCCTGGCCACAAATGCCCTTATCCACTAAGCCCACCTTAGCAGATTGAGCAAATGGTACTCTTATCTTTGTGCATTAACCTGTTTCTTTTTTGTCTGCATCTGGTAGGTCTTAGGTTTCACATTTGTCTCTGCTTATTGGACCCCATATCCATTCCTCCCTGCCTGTTTTTTCTTTGAGACAGAGGGTTTCTTCAGAGCAGTATCATAAATCATCTTAGTATCACTGGCACCCAAAACAAGATGACACTGAATAAAGGTTAAATGAAAAGGAAAAATAAAAGGAGGAATGGCACCTTGGGCTGGAGGTGAGGTGTTTACCAGTGGGAAGAGTTGCTGGGAGGAGAGGAGTATAGCACTGGACCAGACTCAGTCTCTAAAGTCCTGAAAAGCACTTTGTGTTGTGTTTCACTCTAGAGGATAGGTAATAAGAAGTTGACAGTTGAGAGTCTTAAGGATGCAGGTCAAATAACGGATTCTCATTTAGAGAGTAGAGAGGAGAGATTTGTGTAAGACCCATTTATAGATTGATAATGAATTAGATGACTGGAGAAGAATGTTGACCTAAGGGAGGACAGCTAGGAGAGAGGTGGGAAAGAGAGGACATGGCGATATATAGAGGTGGGCAAATTTTTAACTGTCTGATGTCAAAGGAATTATTTGTCCAGAAATTCCCATTAGTGTCTTGTTTTTGACAACAGAAACCACCCCTTTACCTGCTTTGTTATGTTGCTGTTGGGAAACAAAAATCCTGCTGGAGTTCATGGGTTAGCTAATTTAATAGTTTTATTTAATTCTGCTGGTTTGATCTCCCTTTTGCCCGTCTCACAGGTACATCTTATAGGCCTGTGATTTGAGTGACTTTGGGCTAGTTACACAGTAGTTCTGTGACCTTGTGGTTTTGGTAGGTAACAAGAATAGTTTAGTCATGGAATGACATTATGTTGCTTTCCCATGTAGCTTAAAAGATGATGATAGTGGAGACCATGATCAGAATGAAGAAAACAGCACACAGAAAGATGGTGAGAAGGAAAAAACGGAACGAGACAAGAGCCAGAGCAGCGGCAAGAGGAAGGTATGTTTTGGGTTAAATACAGGTATACTTACCTTTGGATGGATATAAGTTTTGATTATCTCTTGGCGTCTGTTTATCTGAAGATCGCAGATTAACTTGATTGCAGGTACTCTTTTGGAATTTCTTGTTTGTTCTAAAAACAAGGTTCTGGAGGCCCTGGAGAGACGTTTTCCTTCCATGTGCTCTTGCACACACAAACACATACACATGTATGAAAATACAAAATGATTGTGGGACTAGGAATACCACTCTGTGGGAGGGTATAAGGCCCTGGATTCAATCCCTAGCACTGAAAAAAGAGTAAAAGGTATGGAGAGGGCAAGAAAGAGGACATGGTTTACTGGCTGTGACTAAAGCCTGGTAGATGTGTGTATGAAAATGTCACAGTGAAATCCTTAGTGTGCACCTATAATTACAAATTTTAAAAATGGTGGAATGACTAGAATTCATTTTGGAAATTAGAACCTCCTCTTGTGAGGTCTTGGGGTGCTGACTTGCTTTACAGTATCCTCATGTGAGATGGAGAAGTCTGGGTTCTCAGCTGGGACTTGCTTTAAAGTGTACTCAGTAATTCAAATCCTGTTACTAATCCTATTCAAAACATTACTATTTTAGGCTTTTCAGTCAGTAATACACATTGAAAGTGGCTTGGGATAGAAAGAATTTAGGGAATGAAAGATAAATGGATCAAGTTTTTCAGTATTATAGCACTATTTATCTGATAATCCTGAATATCTTCCAAACACAAGAATTTTCTACTAGGTGCTTACGTCACAAGTGTTAGGAGGTGGTAGTGTGCACCTTTAATCCCAGAACTCGGGAGGCAGGCAGGCAGGCAGATCTCTGAGTTTGAGGCCAGCCTGGTTTATAAAGTGAGTTCCAGGGCATCTAGGACTTCACAGAGAAACTGTGTCACCAAAAAGAGAAAAAGAAAAAGAAAGTCACAAAGGTGAGGGAGCCATGTTCACTTTTGTTCGCTGAGCACTTCTGATTCATCCATGGTTATTGTTATTTCTTCCACCTTGCAGACAGGGAGCTGAGGCACAAGCAGATTAAGTCATCTGCCAATTTTTAATAATGAATGTTGAGGAGGCAGTACTTGGAGTGGCCATACGTTGAGATAATGCCAGTGATACTATAAGAAAGACAGGAAGTTGTGTTACAGTAGCTTAGAATCATCTCACCACTAAAGAATGTACTATGTGAGCAGACTCCAGCAAATTGCAGGTAATTGAAATTATAGTATTTCAGTTGTGGAGGTGATAAGGAACTATACCTTAAAAAAAACAAAAAAACACTGTCTGTGTAGCCCTGACTAGCCAGGAACTTGGTCTGTCAACCAAAATTGCCTCAGCCTCACAGATCTGCCTGCCACGGCTGGAATTAAAGATCTGTAGGAGTGGCACTGTTAAAATGTTTATTAGGAATCAGAGAAATGCCTGCCTGATGATACGAGTTCAAACCTTGGATCCCACAGTGAGAAGGGAAGAACCAGTCCTGAAAGTTGTCCTCTGACCTACACACACACACACACACACACACACACACACACACACACACACCATGGCATGCTCCCACATTCTGTCTTTTTAGTTTTTCAAAACAAAGTTTATCCAGGTATCCTTGGGTGTCCTGGGCTTGTTTTGTAGTTGTAGACTTGGCTGTCCTGGGCTTGTTTTGTAGACCAGGCTGACCTCACACCTATCCATCTGCTACTTCCTCCCAACGTGCTAGGATTACAGGCGTGCACCACCATGCCCAACCACATTTTTTCTTTTATATAAATACATGATAATAAAATCGTAATTAAAAAACAAATGCAAGATGCTGAAGAGGTAAGTAGTTAAGAACACTTGCTGATCTTACAGAGGACCAGAGTTGGTTCTCGGTACTCATGCCAGCTAGCTCACAAGCCCTCTTCTGGCCTCTGCAAGCACCCATATGCATACATGCACATGTGCATGTATACACACACACACACAGAGCGAGAGAGAGAGGGAAAGAGGGAGGGAGGAAGAGGAGAAAGAGGGAGAGAGAAAATCTCTTTAAAAAAAACCAATACAGCAAAATGTCTGGACTCTCAGCGTTGTGACAGATGCCATGAATTAACTTGCCTTCTGTATTTCCCAGGCTGTTGTCCCTGGACCAGCAGAGCATCCCCTGCAGTACAACTACACCTTTTGGTACTCTAGGAGAACCCCCGGCCGTCCCACCAGCTCACAGAGCTATGAGCAGAACATCAAGCAGATTGGCACCTTTGCCTCCGTGAGTACTTAGTTTGATGTTCCTTGGTATGGCACTCCTACCTGCATTTCTGTCATGGTATATCTACCTTCCTAGTAATCTGATAAACATTCTGGTTTCCTTACTTGGCTGAGTTGCATTCCCAAGATCATGTTTGTTCAATTATTAGGTTAATCGTTAGCCATATTAACTTAAGTGTAGGGATGGTAGCTTTGATCCGAAAGGCATAATCCAAAAATAAAAGGTTTTGGTTTGAGGTTTTTTATTTCAGTAGATATTCATTGAGTCTATATACAAAGTGTCTTAAGAGAGACACTGTTATATGTGATATCTGTCCTCATGAAATTGGGTTCTGATAAGTTGTTTTTGTGGATGCCATCAATACAGAGTGCTCAGGCTCCTTCTCACCCCAGCTCACCCTCACCCTCGCTCCTGGCTCTTTACTAAATTTGTAAACTTAGAGACCCTGCCTACAACTTAACACCAGTGTTGTCTTGTTCAGAAAAGGTTTTTATGTATGCCTGTATGTTCTATGTTCAGTTTCTGTGTGCAGATCAGTTTTCTGAAAGTGGGTCTTGCTGTGTAGCTCTAAGCAGTCTGGACCTTGCCACAATCCTGTCTTCAGTGCTGAGGTTACAGATGTGAGCCACCACATTATGGTGGTAGGTAAGCCATCAGCTTATCCATTTCTAACACAGAAGCTACCACAGAAGTTTTTATTGTCTGCTGTGTAGGGATGTTAGATTAATTTCCAAATACAGTGGCACAGCTGGTTAAACATTAAGATCAGGGAAGGAGGTGGGAAAGACATTTTCATACAGGGTTCTGTGAAATTAATTTAGAATAATTGTGATTATGTCTTACATTTTTCTCTCTTACCCAGAATAATGTAGAAAAAGAAATGTCAGTTTACTACAAGGAAACAAAGGGTACTTTGTGGTTTGCCATCAATACCCTCAGCACTCACAGGACAAGAGAAAGAGCCTAAAGTCTGCTTCATAACTCATAGTGTTAAGTGGCCTGTGGTGGAGGCAGTTGGATCTGTGGGTTCAAGGCTAACAGGTATACAGAGAGAGAGTTCCATGACAGCCAGGGCTACGAGGAAAACCCTGTCATGTTGGAAAACCTAAGGGGGGGAAAAAAAAAAAGGAATGAGGGGCCTGTGTTTACTAAATCCTTTCCAGAGAAGTAATGATAACTTGAAACCTTTTTAAAAGCTAAAGTAGCAGTTCTCGTGTTTTATTTTGTTTTTAAAAGTTTCTTTTCTTAGCCAGGTGGTAAGGGCATAGGCCTTTAATTCCAGCTCTTGGGAGGCAGAGGCAGTGAGACCAGCCTGGTCTACAGAGAGAGTTGGAGGATAGCCAAGGCTACACAGAGAAACCCAGTCTCAAAAACAAACAAACAAAAGGTTTCTTTTCTCTTCTCCTCTCCCCTCTCCCTCCCCTTTCCCCCCCCCCCCCCCCTTTTCTCCCCCCCCCCCCCTCCCCCCCCCCCCCCCCCCCCCCCCCCCCCCCGTCCCTTCCCTTTTTAGGGACAGAGTCTTACTATGTTGGCATAGAAGTCACTATGTAGACCAGGCTGGCCTTGAACTCATCACAATCTTCCTGCCACTACATATGGCCTACAGGTTTATTTTTTACTTTTGTTTATGTGAATGTGTATATATGTACACATGCTTGTGGGAACCCTTAGAGGCCAAAAGAGGGCATTGGATTCCCCAGAGCTTGAGTTCTAGGTGTTTATGAGGCTCCTGTTGTGGATACTGGGACTCAAACTCCAGTTATCTGGAAGCACAGCAAATGCTTTTAACCACTAAGTCCTTTCCAGCCCCAAAGGATGTTTTTTCAAAAGTTCCACTTTAAGCCAAAAATACTTTTTACTGACTTGGAGAAGAGGTGAAAAAAGGACCTCTGAGAACCATCGCAACTCCTTTTCTCATTGTAACATTTGAGGAATGTGCCTCCAGGAGTTCACCCAGCGTACAGATTGTGATATTGTTTGTTCTGAGACAGGGTCTTGCTAGACCTCAGCCTGGCTTGGAACTTGTTTCCTAGGAAATTGTAGCCATAAGCCACATTCCCAGCACTAGAATACTGCTCTTGCAGATGACCTGAGTTCAGTACCCACACCTATGTCAAGGTAGCCCACAACTTCCTGGAATGCCAGCTCCCTGGAGTCTGGTACTTTTTGGCCTTGTGGGCATATGCACACAAGATAAAAGTGAAATAAATGTTTAAAAGTGAAATAAATTTAAAAGTGAAAAAATGTTTAAAAGTGAAATAAATGTTTAAAAATAAAAAAAAGACATCTTTCAGAGTTTAGTGCTATTTTTATTGGGTGTGTGTGTGTGTGTATGCGCACTCGCGTATGTGTATGTGTGCGCGCCCACAGAATTCAGAGGTGTGAGATTCCCCTGGAGCTGAGGTTACACGTAGTTGTAAGCCACTGGATGTGGCTGGGAACTCAGGTCCTTAGGAAGAGCAGTGTGTGTTTTTAACACTGAGATACTTCTCTAGCTCCTTAATGCTCTTTCTTAAATTGTTTTTTATCTCTTGGCTGAGGTACAGATTTGAATATTTTTGCATTTAAATCTGAAGAGACTGAACAATCAAAATGATTATTGTCTAAAGAATTAATATGCTTTGTCCCCGCTACACCCCTCCATCCTAATTCACAGTGAGCCTTGGTTTTCATTACTATCTTAGTTTTTTTAGTTGTTAAGTGGATAAACGTTTAGATTATGTATGACCAGTTAACATTCCAAGTTACTGGATGTACAGATAGGCCCAGCAGTTGTAGAGATGAGATGTTGCGTTAATATCTTATAGATGGCTTTAGCTGCTGCCTTTGAAGTGTATAATATATTCCACATGTTCTTTTCTGGAGGGCAGCTAGAGAGAACAACTATTTTATGTGATAGGAGGTCAGTTTCTCTTGCTGTCTAGATTTAACAGGGCCTGAATATCAGCTAGTACCTGTTTCCTGCTATGCCGTCTTGTTGAATGTGGAATTGACAGTTACCAATAGTCTTTACTTTCTAAAGTGCCTTCCTACTGCTAGTGCCTACAGCTATCCTCTGTAGCTCAGAGGAGACAAGAATGATGAGTCTAAGTGTGTTTCGGGGTTTTGTTGTTGTTACTGTTTTTATTTATGTGTGTGTGTGTGTGTGTGTGTGTGTGTGTGTGTGTGTGTATGTTTTTATATACCTGCTAAGTGTCTACAGAGGCAAGAAGGAGACATCAGATTCTCTGACATTGTAGTTACAGGCAGTTGTGAATCACCCAGTGTGAGTGCATGGAACTGAACTCAGGTCCTTTGAGAACAGTAGCAGAACTCTTAACCTCTGAGCCATCTAGATTTCCAGCCCCTGGAGTTTTGTTGTTTGTTTTTGAGGCAGGGTCTCATTATGTAGGCAGGATCTCACTCTATCTGGGTGATCCCCATTCCCTACTCCTGAATACTAGAATTATAAGTATATAAACACATTTGAAGGAAAACTATAACTCTAGTTTTCTTCAGAAGTTTAAGGTAAATTAGGAAGAAATATAATCTTTCCAGCTGAGTGGAGGGATAGAAAAGCTAGTTCTAGGCCAGCCTGGACTATAGAATCAGACTCTGTCTAAACAAAAAGAAAAAAAATTCGATTTGGCTCTATAAGAATATGCAGGTGAGGCCTTGTGGTACCTGATATATTGCAAGATGGAAGGTTTTTAGTTGTGCAGAGAGTTACTACATAGTGAGAGAAGGTACATGTCAGTGTGGCTTGCTTTGCCTCCTCAAAGCTGTTGATGAAGGCCAGCAGTTCTCAACAATTTTTATTTTAAGATTTTATTTTCATTTTGTCTGTATTAGTGTTTGGCTGAATACATATCTGTGTACTTCATGCGTGCATGCCCAAAGAAATCTGAAAAAGGTATTGGATCCCCTGGGACTGTGGGTCACAGATGGTTGTGAACTGCCGTGTGAGTGCTAAGAAGTGAATATGGGTTCTCTGGAAGGTCAACCTGAGTACTTGACTGAGCCAGCTCTCCAGAACTAGAGTTTATCCTTGTATTGAAAGTGTTACGTGTTGTGTCTTTATTTTGTTTTACTTTTCCCCACTTTGATTAAACTGTATTAGCCAGGCATAGAAATGTATGTTTATAATCTTAGCAGTTTGTGGAAGCAGGAGATAGTTCAGGAACCTAAGACCAGCCTGGGCTACAAGAGACCTTGTTTCAAACCAAATAAAAAACCTATATGGTAGATGTTTTTCTAATATGCTCTTCTTTCTACCTTGCTCCAAATGAAGCAGGTTCTCCAAAGTAGGTAGCCGAGACAGGCTGTCTCCCATATTTCTCTTCTCAGCAACACAGCTTTGTATACATTCAAAGAAGAGATAAAATCCTTGTACTCTTGACCTTTCTTTCTGCAGGTGGAGCAGTTCTGGAAGTTTTACAGCCACATGGTACGTCCTGGGGACCTGACAGGCCACAGTGACTTTCATCTCTTCAAAGAAGGAATTAAACCTATGTGGGAGGTAAGGATTGCCTCTAGCTGCTTTGGGGAAATCGATCGATCTGTCTGTCTGTCTGTCTTTCTTTCTCTCTTTCTTTCTTTGACTCTGCCAAGGTTAAAAGAGTTTTGAAGTTTTCTCTCAAAGCTATAATAGTATTTGATAAATCTTGAGAGCCTATACCTATAGGAAAAGGCATTGATGCATGCATGTGCTCATGGGTTATGGCTGCAAGGTTGCTTTAAAGATGCTACTGTCTTAGTTACTGTTGTATTGCAGTAAGAGACACCATGACCAAGGCAGCTATTATAAGAGAAAGCATTTAATTGGGTCTTGCGTACAGTTTCAGAGGTTTAGTCCACTATTACCGTAGTTGAGAACATGGCGGCATGGAAGCAGGAGCTGGGACAGGAAGTAGCTGAGGACCCTAATCCATAGGCAGAGATAGAGGCTCTGAGCCTGGCATGCGCTTTTAAAACTTTAAAACCCATTCACAGTGCACACCTCTTAATTCTTCTAATTCTTTCAAATAGTGCTGCTTCTGAGTACAAATATATGAGCCTATGGGGGCTATTCTTACTCAAGTCAGCTGAGGTACTGTCACTCAAATGGTATTATTACAGTAGCGAAAGCTTTTTAAAATGTCCTTGTTCCCACAGAACTAACGTCTATGTGTACATGTGTGTATAATGCATTTGCTTAGGAGATAGAGGATTAAAGTGGTAAGAAAAAAAACTTCAGCGTAACAGGAGACCCGGAAGTGAGCTCTGTGATCGTTTGGCAGAGCTGTTATTTGACTGCACCCTTGTGCTCTTTGACCGGGCATGTTTCTAAGAAAAAAAAGTTCTAGAAAATGTGAGAAGTCTTCCATTCCCTGCAGTCAGTCCTTCACATTCACATATCCCTGACTCAGTATGCAGACGTGTTCCTCCTGGTTCCCTCAGCGCCCTTCACCTGCTTTACAGTTAAATGTTTCCCTCAAGACCAGCTGATGTAGTTCCTCCGAAGTTTCTAGGCATCTCTGCTCCTACCATCCTGTGTGTACTGTTGCAGTAGTACTCTTTAGGCTGTGTGGCTATAATTAATTTGTCTGTTTCTACTACATTGCGTCTGAGTTAAGATCTGCGCTTCTATGTACTTGGTACTTAGTGACAGTCAGCTTTTAGCAAATGATGATTATAGTATGTGTTTGAAATGTGCTTGACTTCTAAAATAGTTCTGATAAAAGTAGATCCTTTTCAAAAGATCTGTTTAGTACTTTTTTAAAAAATGATTTAGATCAAGGACTGCCTCTCTTGCTTTTTTTTTGTTCCTATTTCCTTTCTTCTTAACACTGAAATAACCTTGAATTAGAAAATGACCAGACCTCCTGGCTTGAGAGGTATTTCTTTGGTATTCCAAGATGACACTGTGGACCAGTATTTTAACCTTGATGTTTTTTGTTTTTCTATAGGATGATGCAAATAAAAATGGTGGCAAGTGGATCATTCGACTTCGGAAGGGCTTAGCTTCCCGCTGCTGGGAGAATCTCATCCTGGCCATGCTGGGGGAGCAATTCATGGTTGGGGAGGAGATCTGTGGGGCTGTGGTCTCTGTCCGCTTTCAGGTAAGTCAGCCTAGGCTAGTGTTCTTCCTTGTGTTACCGCTGCTCTCATTGCTCCTTCTGGTTGGTTTGATAATTCTGTTTCTCCCTTAGGAGGACATTATTTCCATATGGAATAAGACCGCCAGCGACCAAGCAACCACAGCCCGAATCCGGGATACTCTTCGGCGCGTGCTTAACCTACCTCCCAACACCATTATGGAATACAAAACCCACACCGACAGCATCAAGTACGTGTTGGGGGGCTTGGGGGGGACAGGTCCCTGAGTTTAGCAGAAGTAGCTCCATAGTTGGGCCCAGACACATGTAGTCATACATGACACTGACTTGTGAAGTAGGGACACACCAGCCCCCTCCAGGGCTTTGGCTACTTGCTGAAGTTCTTGTTAGTGAGGCTCCAAGGACCTACTGTGAGGTTTTGTGTAGCAGAGAGCCCTTCTGCAGAAACCCAGTTTTCCTGCCTGGGCTGGCTTGATTTCTATAGGCTGTCTTGTCTTTCTTATGCTAACCACTATTTTAAAATGAAAGACAAAGCTCTTTCAGAGGTTTTTCATGGCTGTTTTTAAAGACAATTTCATTGAACAATAAAATCCTCTTCCCTACCCACCCTGACCCCACCTCTGCATGTCTGTTTAACCTGTCAGCTTTAGTCTGTTTTCTTTGTCTTGGGAGATTGACTTCTCATAAGGAATGGGGACGCCAGTCTTTCTGTATAGAACTGAAGTCTAGAGAAAGCAGGGTAGATTGTGAGATGAGAAGGAGAAAGAAGCTTGTATCCCACTGAAGACAATGAGTGCTGTCCACATTGAGAATTACTGGTGAGGGCTTGCTCTTTCAGGAACAGTGATAGATGAGCTCAGGTCATTGTGAAGAGGTTGTGGGAGTAGCTGCCAGATTGTCTGGAAGGTAGAAGGAAAGAGCCAGCCAGGAGTCAGGTCTCCTTATTGTCTCCTGTGACCATGGGTCAGTATGTGCCTTTGGCAAGTCTCTGCAACTCTGTATCAGTTTCTCCAGCTGTAAGATAGGGTATAGCAATAAATAGTAAGGTTGCCATAAGGCTTGCTTGATCTTTGTAGCTGAAGGACCTCAGAAACCTCTTACAGGACTAAGTGTTACTGCTATCATCATTAGTATAATGTCATCATCAATGGCAATTCCTATTCAAGACAATGGTGAGCCCAGTAGTTGTATTCATCATCAGGTAGACTATGTGAGACTCTTTCCCATGCATTCACATATGATGTGGGTGGAGTTTGCTTATATCAGCTAGGTGCCAGTTTTTATCTGGGACTACTGCCATGGGAATTGGTCTGATATCAGATGGCTGGCCCTGACTCATTGGAGCCACCAGCACTCATTTGCCATCAGTGGTCCTGGTTGCTTGTCTCAGCAATCCTGTATCAGCACTAATTTTTCTTAGAGCAGGTCTGTCTTATTCTCTGCTGCAGGACAGACGTAGTGTCTGCCCTCCTGCTAGGTTTAGTTGAAGCTCAAAAGGTCTACATCTTTCCCTAGGATTCTTGTTTGCTAGGTTCCCATTTAACCTGGTTAGGAAAGGGAAAGAGTAGTTTCCATTCACTCCCCACTGTTCCCCCCTTTCTGGTACCTGGAGGCAGTTCATCTTGACTTGTAAAATCCCACAAACAAATCCTCCAGGACCTAGGAGCCTCTGGGACTCCTGCCCTGCAGCTGTTAACACCCTCCTCGAGACCCAGAAGCCACTTTTCCCTTGCTCCCCACTCTCCTTCCTCTCCCAATGAGCTACCTTTTGCACTTCCACTAGAATGCCAGGCAGGCTGGGTCCCCAAAGGCTCCTTTTTCAAAACCTCTGGAAGCCGCGATTGAATGTGCCATGACCCTCTCCCTCTCTGGATGGCACCATCATTGAAGCTGGCGTCTTCGGAGTCTCTTGTTCTGTTGGCGTGCCACCTGGAAGACCCTTCTGTCCTGGACAAGAGGAACGGAAGAGCATGTTATCCTTTGAGAACAGGCTGACAGCAGCAACTACTACAACAGCTGAGATCACAAATAAATGGTGCTAAACCAGCTTGTCTCATGCTCTTGCTCTTTATGGTGCATCAAGATGTGGCCTTTGGATTGACTGTCACCATTATCAAGGGATGGCACACAGACTTCTTTCATGCAGGGCCATTGAGGGAATGCAGTTTCATGCCCACAAGCCCATTGTATAATCATATGGTAATTTATTCCAGGACTGTTGTGGTCTGACATAATGAGGTGACGTCTAGCTCTCTAAGTGAGACTCCACTGCCTGATGCTCAAGTGTACTGGTTTTCATCCAGTTAGACCAATGCTTGGCCCAGAGGGGTGGCTGAGTTTAGGTCCAGAGTTGAGAGTCTCCTTGGCTTTTCTTTGCTAACTTCCATTTGCTTTTAGTTCATAAAAATCTCTTGCTTTGAGCTAAAGCCCTGCTTCTGTCTGTCTGTGGCTGTATATGCATACTTTTTGCTTTGTGCTAATGGGGCTTTCTCTCTGGTGCCAAATCTGCTTGGCAACCTCCTCCTTTCCTTGCAGAGTAGATTGTCTTCCTCTTTGGTAGTCTTGCTTGGTAAGAGCCCTTATTCCTTCCAGCCCAGGGTCACTGTGCCAGGGTGTAGAGAGTAGAGTGCCTTCATCTTGGGGGGGATTCACCTTTGAGATAATCTGAATATACATGTACTGGCCTTGTGAGTACTCAGGCTTTGGCTTATGTGTGTGTGCAGCTTGGCTTTCAGGCCTTTACCTGCTTGGAGAATTTCAGCAAGCTTTGTTAGACACCCCCAAAACTAAGATTTAAAAAGCATTTTTGTGAACTCTAGGTTGCCTGAGTGAGCGGCAACTACAAGGGTCAGTTTTCCAGAGTGCCTCCAGTCTGGCAGCAGCACATTCCTTAACACCAGCTGACTGGCTTAACCCTACTCTTTGTGTGGCCCAGGAGTTAACAAAACAAGTGAGACCTTAGGTTCCTTGTTCTGGGAGTGCCCATGCTATTACTGCTTTATCACATTCTCTACATTGACTAGAAAAGAGATTCCGCTGAGCTGCAGAAAGCCTATCGTCTGTTGGGTTTTCTTGGGCCTTCCGCCTTATCTTTCACTGTGAGGTGTGTGTACATTTTATTGCACCAGCAAATAAACTTGATGCCACTTTCCAAAGTAAGTCTGTCAGCAGCAGACTGAGCTGAGACCCCCCCCTTCAGATCCCAGCCACATGTGAGATGTCAGCACTGCTCCTGCCTTGGTGTGTTCCTTGTGGCTTTTGTTTGAGCCAGTAAACAGCATCTGCTAAGACTTGAGAAAGAGCCAGTGGTAATGGTTGTCTCCCCAAGTACTGCTAACAAGTGAGGGGCATGTTTTTAGGAGTTGCTCAGCTTCTTCACTCAAGCCTTTCTCCAGCTTGCTTGTGTTTCAGTCTAGTTTCTAGTGTCTATTTCACCTGTCTGTCTTTCTAGCCTTCCCTGGTCACCCTGCCTGTTGCTGTTTTCTGCAGTGCACCTGGGTGAACCAGGAAGTATCCATTGCCCCACAGAGAGGCCACTTTCCTTTGTCCTTGTGTTGCTGACTATATCCCTAAGAAAGACAAGGCTTATTCACTTGTATTTGTATCAGTCAGGTCACAGCTATGGAACTTGCCACGTAGTCCACACTGGCCCCCAACTTCACATCGGAGTGCTGGGGTTAGAGGCATGTGCCACCATGACCTCTTGGTGAAGCAGATTTATAATTGAGGCTTCATAGGTTTGGGTCCTTAACATCAAATGGCTTACTACATCCTCCGCTTGAGGAGAAAACTTGTAACACAGCCTGAATTCTGGGGCCACCAGGGTACTGCTGTTATAAAGGCAGTTAACACAGCACTGTCTTAGAAAATAGCTTTTTGGAGTAGACTTGCTGTATTCCATGTGCTCCTGGTCTGGAATGGCAGAAGGGCCCTCTTCCCATAGTAGAACACAGTGCTGGTTAAGACTGGTGGGATTTCTCTACAGAGAGTAAGGGAGAAAGAGAGACAAGCCAAAGTGTGGAGACTTCCTTCACCTGGTCTGGCTATAATTGTATCTCAGCATTGAACTCTTAATGTACAGTTGAAGGCTAGCCCACTCACTGTCTTAGTTCAGTCGTAAGCTGGTGATGCTGGGCCACTTTAGGCTTAAACTGTCTGACCTTGAATTGTGCACTGAGCTCAGATTTGCTAATCTGGCTGAATCCCTTTTTAGTGTTGCGGCCTGGCTGAGAGCAAGGCGCTGATATATATAAGCTTTGGGCAAGGGTCTGGAAACACAGTTAACACACAGAAGAGATCTCCCTTTTTTGAGAATTTGCTTTCTGGTGAGATGGGATCAGTCAACCTTAAAGAGTTCTTTGTTGCTGCCAGATCTGCTCAGAATTCTCAGTATGCTATATTAATCTCTGATTTGTTTGATTATAGACAATCAGATCATAAGAAAATGTTTAGGATAGCTTCTTCTGTAAAGAAGAAAGTTTTGATGTGCATGGTTTGCCAGGTGGAGGGAGAGTAAAAATTCACACCTGGCTGGCCTTTGAGAATAAGAGTACACCAGAGTCCCTGGCCATGTGCATTGCTTCCCCTGAATCCATGCAAGGAGCTCAGAATAGGAAGTCAGTTTATTCTTGTGTGCTGGAGCCTTCCCGGTCTTCACCCAGTGAGCTGTTATGCAAGTACAGTGAGGAAGGGCCCTTCTGGAAACAAAAGGATAAATGAAATGAACTTCAACCCTGTTACATGACCTTGTTGACCTAACTTACTTAAAGCAGTTACTTTTAGAGAAGATCTAAAAGTAGGTCTTACTGTTAGAGAAGATCCCAGGTCATTGTCCACGCATTGAATTTTCACTTGTCTTCATTGAGAGTGAAGAGTGAAACTGCCTCCAACATCTCTTATAGGAACTAGAGTACAATTCACCACTGTCTCCAGAAATAGCTTGGGAATTGACAAGTTCTTAAACAGTTTTTCTTTGAGTTATTTGTCATAAACTAGTAATTTTCTGTGGGGAAAAAGCTGTTGTTCTATAGAGGGAAAATATTGATGAAACTGGGGCATACATTGTCTAGTCCTTAGTAATTTAATGTATTTTTGAGGCGTGGTTTCACCACATAGTCTTGGCCATCTTGGAATTCACCATGTAGACCAGGCTGGCCTCAAACTCACAGAGGCCTGTTTTTCTCAGTTTCCCAAGTGCCGAGATTATAGGTATGGGCCACCTTGCCCAGTTCCCTATTCTCAATGCCAAACAAACAAACAAACAAACAAACAAACAAACTGCCTAGAGTACCAGGTAATGAAATATATTTTAATTCTTACAATGCTAAATGTTGTAGTGAGAGACATTTTCTTGCTACCTTAAACCAATAAAAGAATATTGCCTGGCCTGCTCGTACATGCCTTTAATCCCAGTACTAGAGAGGCAGAGGCAGGCAGATCTCACTGGATTTGGGGCCAGTCTGGTCTACACAGCAAGTTCTACATAGCCACTGTTAAGTTTGATATTCAGTACCCAGGACAATCCCTGCTTTCAAACTGAAAAGTGGATAGGGCAAAAAGGTGAGAGAAATTGGGGTGGTGAGAGCTTCCAGAACACTGAGGGATCTGACTTTCTTCTTCTTCATGCAGCAGTTGCAGAGGCCTGTCTGTGGAACACTGGCTGTGCTGTGAGCTATGAGTGTGTGTACTCCCATAACTCACATGTCTAATTCCTTCCTAATCACATTTCTAAGTTATGTTCATTAAAATTGTGTTACTTGGCACAGAAGTTGCAATAAGCTCTATTAACAGGAAATGTTAGTTGCATGACCCATATATCTTAAATCTAAAGACTTACATGTGTGTTTTCAGAAGCAAAAAGAACCTGACATATTTAGCATCTCGAGTTTAGAAAGGCTAGAAGGTTGGAAAAGTAAAAGCAGAGAAAAATGACATAACTGGGTTGCATCTTGAGACATCATAATGCTGGTGAATCCTTGGCTTTGCCCTCAGGGTCAGGCCCAGTGAAGAAATGTGTTTTCTACTACCTGTTCCCCGGATTCAATGTAGCAAAGGCAAGAATTGTTGCCCTTTGCTGAAGAAAGATAGAAGTATTTGTGGGCATGGCTGAACTTCAGCTCTGACCTCAGTGGCTTCCCCTTTATCCCTGTTGAAGAAACACTGGCAAGTCTTCAAGGGAGTAGTGAAGGCTAGACTTCCTGAGTAAAGCAAGCCGAAAATGCCAGCTTCCTGCCATCCAAGAAGAAAGCCTGCTGGGAACCTGACTCTTTATCCAGCTCCTGTGACGACAGTCAGCATGGAGGGTGTCAGAGTGGGAGGTGGGGTAATGCTGTCTGCTGTCTGCTCTAAGCGTTTGATCTGAATGTGCTGTTGTTTTTGTCTCTGGTTTACCAGGGCCTGGGAGGAGTTTCATGGCCTGGTGAACAGCAGCGGCCGCTGATCGGACGCTCCCCCTCTGTCTCTCACACTCAGGGTAGGGCCTTGTCTACCTTCTCTGTAACCCCATGACATGCCTCTTGGCCGTAGAGCCCTTTCCCCAAGGGGATGCCCTCTTTCCATTTGCCTTCAGCCTTGCCTCTGCCTCAGGGAAACATGGAGTTCCAGACTCTGCCTCCCTGAATTCTATATCTCAGGGTTAACACTATAGAGGTCACCGGCCCTCGTGCTTCTGTGCTCTCATTTGCTCTGTACACCAGCAGATCTGAGAGCTCTTTAGATGTTAACATTTCATGAGTGTAAATGTGCACCATATCTTCCTGTTTAGTTCAGATACAGCCATTTTTAAGCCATCTACAAATTTTCTGGTCAAAGGACAGTTCCATAGACCCCTGTATGGGTTAGGTGAGAGATAGGTCTCTCATTTGCTGCTATGGCCTGACAGTTGTGAAGAAACAGTATTTGAAATTTGGTTTCCACAGTGAAAGACAACAGATTTTAGGACTGCGTAAGAGACCATGGAATGACATGGCAGATGGGCCCCATGGGAGGGAAGGGCTGGGCCAGCCCCAGCATCTGCCTGCCTGAGTATTTACAGTTCAAGAGAAGGTTAAGCCATGTCTGTCTCTAGCAGAGGGCCCTGCTAAGTTTAGCTGGAATAGGAATATTTTCCTCAGTGAGAGCCTCCTGGATGTCAAGTACCATGTGCCTCTGCAGTAGTTGCAGAAGCTCCTCTCCCTGAGGAAGGACGTGAAGGTTTTCCAAGCACGGAGACTTGCTGCCCTTAGATAAGCCAAATGAAGTGACACTGAGGAATAGGAGCAGGTGACTGCATGTCTGCGTTTATGGTCCAGTGTGATATAGGGTGACCTCTTGCAGGATTCCTGAAAGTCGTTGGTGTTCCCAAATCCCTTTTTGTTTTTTAAATAGGAGGTGGGTAGGGGTCTGTGTTTGTACTGCTTTGGCTGTCTGTCCTTGGCTTCCACCTGGTTTAAAGCAGGGTCTCTTTGTTGCTCACCACTGCATATGCTAAGCTAGCTGGTCCAAGAGCTTTCAGAGATTGCCCTCTTTGCCTCTGTTATAGGAGCATGGGATTACAGACTTGCACCATCCTGCTGGGCTTTTTATTGGTTCTGGCAATTTATACTTGTACAGCAAGAACATGATTTACTAAGATATCTCCCCAGCCCTTGTTTTTGTTTTTTGAGACAAAGTTCATGTAGCCCAGGCTGGCCTTGAATGCACTGTGTAGTTGAGATAGCACTGAACCCCTGATCTTGATCCTCCTGCCTCCACCTCCTGAGGGATGGGATCACAGGCATGAGCCCCACATTGAGCTTCCTCTCCCTGCCCCAACTTTATAGTTTGATTTTGTTATAAGTTTTGGGCAGGTGTAGTGATTTACACCTATACTCGCAGCAGTGAGAAAGCTGAGGCAGGAGGATTGCTAAGAGTTTGAGACCAGACTGAGCTACATGGTGAGTTCAATGTCTGCCTGGGTTATGGTGCAATCTTGTGTGTTCTTCCTTGCCTCCAGCCCTTCAAAAAGTCTTGAAACTCTTAAAATGACCTCTTCCTCAGCAGACAGCAAATTATTCCAAGAAAAATACCCTTGACTTGTGTGGAGAGATCATACCCCTGCATAGTTACTGCAGTGTGCTTTCTCTCTGTGTAGCCTCTCTGGTCTTCCTCATGTACTTGCTGGTTTGGGTGTTCTGAAATGTGGCCATAGGAGCTGTGAGGAACATTCTAATTTAAACTCAAAAGGCCACCACATTGCCTTGCCCAACTTAGAAGGACCTAATATTTCACCTCTTCTGATTGGGTCTTGCTTTAGGTGAGAGCGGCACCCTAAGATGTAGACACCTTAGCCTCCTGACCCTTTCTTGCTTTACTGTTTCCCTATACAGATGGATCATGTTCTGTAGGAAGAATTGAGAGAAGAACTGCTGCTTAAATAATTTTACCTGGGCAGGGTGGCACACACCTATAATCCTAATATGGCAAAGGCAGGGTCATTACCGAATTTCAGGGCTAGTGTGGATTATGTAGTGTGACTCTTGCCCCCACTCCCTGCAAAAGAAAAAAAAAGTAATGAAGATGGTAGCTCATACATAAAACCCTAGCACTTAGGAGGTAGGATCAAGGGAATCAGGAGTACAGGGTCATTGTCCCTTACAGAGCAAGCTCAAAACCAGCTTGTGCTGTGTAAGACCCTGTCTCAAAACAAAACAAAAAACAAAACAAAGCAAATACATGTATATATCTTAAATCTCAAATATTTTTCCAAATTACCTATTTTATGTATTTACATATTCTAAGACTTTTATTTAACTTTCATTATGGAGCTATGGTTTTTAATGAAATTACTGCAAAGTCGGTAAGGACTTTGGAAAGGACTGGTTAGCTAATGACTGGGCTAACAGGGATAGAACGAGGGTGTATGTTGTCAGTGCAGCTGTCATGGTTGTTTAGATGAGATTACAAGTCACTCTCATTGAACCAAGAAAGATCTTACAGCTGCGTTGAATCTTCAGGGAGAGAAGAAGCCAAAATTGTACCAGGGTTAGACTGCAGATGGCAGGGTTGAGGCCTGGTGTGCTCAAAGGAGTAGGCCATGATGAGCAACTCTCCCAAGCCACTTTCAGAGCAGTCTCAAGTGGCCCAGCATCTACCTGAGGACCCAAGGTCACTTGTGTGCCACCACTGAGCGCATGTGCATAAACAGACACTCCCAGGAAGGAAGCATCCTCCTGAGGAAGTAGTTAACATCTCCCTTAGCCACTGTTCCCAAAGCTAAAACTTGAATTTAAAAGTGACCATATTGAAGTAATTTGGGAGTGTTTGGCCAAATTCACCAAGGTAACTGGGAATATGAACTTAGGAATCAGTTTGGGTGGGGTCTCTAGTATTTTGAAATCTCAAGACAGCATAACTTAAAAGTTCAGAAGGATTTCCCTTAGGGCTATGTTCCTGGGGTCTCAGGTGTCCTATGTGCTCAGATGTACCCTGAGCATATCACATCATAGCTAGTTGCTGGTTTGTTGTTCAGGTGGTTGGTTGGTTGGTTTTAAAAGAGCAGAAGCACAGAGACAAGTGTGATGGCACTCAACTGTAATCTTAGCACTCAGAGACTAAGGCAGGAAGATCACAAGTTTGAAGCCATCAAGGTCTACATAGCAAGTTCCAATTCAAGGTAAAGGAAAGAAGAGAAGTGTAGGGGAAGAAGCCACTGACAGCCTCTGTCCACCATCTGTCTTTCCCTGTCACCTAACTTGTTCTATAGCTAGGACCTGACTGAATGTAGTTCTTAGCTAGCCTAGGGAAAAACATGCCTCAGACTAAGCTTGGCACTAATGTTCTAAACTTCTACCATGTTTAGAAAGACTGGACTACAGCTGTAGTCCCTTGCTACTATCCACCTACTTCAGCCTGTCCTGGCCAAGCCTGCCACCTACCTTCATTGCTCTTTGTTTTCCTGTTCAGTAACTGGGAAGGGTATCCTGGCTTCTGGCTCTTCTTTCTTTTCCATCTTGCAACTGGACCTTCAAGTGATAGGATGGACTGCTTAGGTTTTCTTGGTAGAAAGAAGCCCTGGTGGGAAGTAACTAGAGTGATAACTTGTTGAAGGAAAGTGGAGCAGGGCTCTGCAGTGGCCCTGCAGAGTGCAGGTCATTTCTGACCCCGCCCAGCATCCATCAGTATTTTCCTGAGCTCCTCTTCCTGCCCCCACAGCTATACTGGATCCACATTCTCAGCCACGAGTCAGACTTCTGCGTCTCTTCCTGATTTGGAAAGTCCTGTCACTTTCCCACTGTCCCACCTTTCTGTTCATCCTTCTCACAAGAGCGGGATTGTTTCTGTCAGGCTTTATCTGGGCACAGATGTGGCACTGAGAGGGAAGAAGTGAAGTAAAACAAACGTCTTCTGTGCTTGCTTCAGCATGTGCCACGGGTAGAAGGGGTGTCATCTGAAATGCAGACTTAGTGGCACAGCACACCAGCTCAGAGTTCAGAACCCTTGGACACCACCTCCTCTGCTTTCCTCTGTGGTGTAATTAGGATTCCTTAGCATCTTTTGTTGGCCTTTGATAGCTCAGAGGAATCCGTCCTTAGGAAAGGTTTGTATACCATTTAAGATGGTTCCCAGTTAACACCTTGTATTCAGCTCTGAGATGAAAATAGTTGATGAATGAGCCACAGAGTCACATGTGTCAGAAAAGGGCCAGTGAGCTTTGGAAATCACGTCAGGTTCTTCCAAGTTCCCCTAGAGCAGCTCACTCATGGTATATAGAACAGTTAGTATGTGGTTGTGGGGCTCATGGTCACTGTCCGCGTACTTCCAGCCGCCAGGGGCAGGAGGGAACTGCCCTTGGCTGCCTGAACATACTACCTCTTCGTTGTTTATCTACTGTGGACCAGCTGCCTAGTTAAATGTAGGAAGATCAAGTAAGGCCACAGCACTGCAGTGACCCTTTAAAATAAAAAAGGAAATTGACTTCAGAAGCCTGTAATGAGAGTTTGCTTCAGTTTCTAGCGCATTTAAAAACAAAGCCCTGGGCTAGGGCAGCAGCTGATTGGACTTTAAAGTCCCCATCAGGGAAACCCATGAGATTTTTGAGATTTGGATGATGTGACCTGCTGAGCTGTGGCTGGATTTCTAGTCTGAGAAAGGTGGTCAGGGATGCCTGCACGCAGTAGAAGGCACAGAAGGCACATGTTCCCATGTTCCTCGTCCAGAAGAAAACTTCCGATGTACCAGAACTGTAAATGCAGTTCTGTTTTAAACAGGGCTTATGAATGGGGTTGGATTTGTTTATTGGATGGTCTGATTGTATCTTCCTCCTCCTCGTTTCACCTGCCCACCTGCTATTGGGTCCCTGTTGTCCTACTTTACGTAACTGTGGTTCAGCATTTTTTAAAGTGTTATATACAGGCAAAGGAATACATATGTAGCCTTTCTTCTCCACCTTCATTAAAGGTGGCAGTTGTGCACACTACTGTTGTGTACTAGAGATTATCTGTTGATCTTGGAGATGTCGCCATAGTAGCGGAAAGCTTTTCCTTTTTTTTTTTTTTTTTTCTCTTTAAAGCTACAGTGTCCCATTGTGAGGATGTGCATGCATTAACACTTCACTTGCACTGGGGAGTTACTAACCTTGTGCCTTGCCAAGCAGCAGGCTGAAAGTTTTTGCAAGGACTTGGAAGGCAGGCTGCCATTTGACTTTAGACTGGTGGGGAAGGGCTGGGTGTAGAAAGCTGGAGAGCTGGTCAGGTCCTCCCCTGTATGGGTGTGCTTATATCTAGGTGGTCCATGTATTGAATACTCTATTTTCTCCCATTTTCTCTTTCAGGGACAATTCAAGCTTTCGAAATACAAAAATCACATTGTGAAAGTGCACAAGCTGGCAATAATCCTTTTCTGTTTGTGTGTTTGTCTGAAATGGATGTGAGGTTCAGGCAGTCCTGTCTGCTCACTAAAGGGGTGTACCTAAGCCACATGCTCCCCTTCTGCACTCGTTCCTGGAAGACGGACTCCACTAGACACCTTCCAGCATTGCTGACCTTATAAAGCAAGAAGAATGGGGAAAATGTGACTTTGTCATAGACAAACACTTTTTAATGGGGCTCTGTGCAGGAGTGCAGCCGTCTTCTTGCTGTGTGCTATCCAGATGCCTCTTGGCACCCTGCTGTACTCTCCTGCTGTGCGAAGGACTTGACCGACCACATGTATGTGCCCTGTGCTGGGTCTGACCTGAGCGTTATCAGTATTATGAATGCTTGCGCATCCAGGAACAGCCTCTGCTTAGAGTTGAAGAGAACCAAATGCCTCTCCCAGCTCTACTGTTAAGTTATTGTGTGTTCCTCTCTCCCAAGCCCCCAGCACACTTTGAACATGTGTTAGGATGTGATGACAGCCTAGGATTCTGTGTCCTTTGCGCCTTATACCTCCAGTGGGGTTCTCCTTCTTAGGCACTGTGGCACTTAAATCGTGATCCCAGGCAGCAAAGGTTTTGCTGATGAAACCTAAGGTATCTGCCCTCTAAGAGAAGGTGGAGAAGAATGCAGTTCAGTCAGAAGCTGGATTATAGTGCAGGTCCCATGTGTGGGGTTGGGGCTGAGGGCGGGGATTGAAACCAGCCTCCCATGCGAGTGGGACTTGTGTGCTGAGCATGGTCTGTGGGGCTTGCATGTCCCTCATGGAGGAGGAAGCAACAGCTGCTTAGTGCCACTTTAACACTTAGTGTGTAGATCCCACAGTGCTGAAATGGACATCTGAAGAATCGGCAGCCTTGCTGGATGCTTTTATTTGACGGCTGTATCTGTCAGCTGTGGTTGGAAAAGACTTTGGTCCTCAACACCTGGATGTAAGCAAATTGTCCAGATCCTCAATGCCCAGAAGGCTTCTGCAGGCATGTCCTCATCAGAGAAGCTGGGTGTTCTCACTCTGGGAGCCTGGGGCCAGAGAGATCAAAAGAGCACCCAAGATCACGGAAGAGAGGGGCAGCTGCAGCGGTTTCAGGTAGTAGCTCTGTGTACTGGGCTCTTGTGAGCCGAGATGGCAGTACCTTAAATTAAGGCCTCTCTTTATGCGTATCCCTGAAGCCTGGCTCCTCAGCCACCGGGCTCAGGAATTCTGAAGGTTACAGCATCTCCTTTTATTCACCTCACTCTCTTCCAGTTTTCCAACCTCTGCCCCTCCAGTCACTGTTATCTGGGAATGCCTTTCCCTGAAAGAACAGAGTACAGGCGTCAAGGGGGAAGATGTTTCTGCTGTGGGTGAAGCCATCTGAGAAGAAAGTCCAGTAGGGATTGAAACTCCAGGAATCTGAAGAATGCACTCTGGGGTGGTTGTGAAGGCTCCAGCACCACGGGAGCATCACTGGCTGTCAAGGAGGCAAAGGCTGCTCCTGGAGGCTTGACTCAGGCAGGAGGCCTCACGTTTGCCTATGCTCAGGTCGCCTCAAAATTCCAAAGAGCAGACATTTGGACTTGCCTTCCTTTGGGCATCTCTCTAGTGTGTGTGTGCATGTGCATGTGCACGTGTGTGCGCATGCATGCATGCATGTACAGTGTGTCTGAGTGAGGCCTGTGTCAGGCCTAATGGTTAGATGTTTTATTTTGCCTTTTTTTTTTTTTTTTTTTTTTTTTTTTTTTTTTTTTTTTTTTTTTTTAATCTCATTTGTTCAGAGGTTTGAATCTCCAATGTTTTCTAGAGCTGCTTGTCTTTCCCCATCCTCTTGGTCATATAGTATTTGACAGTTGGATTTTTTTTCCCATTTAAAGTATGCTGACCCTGCTGCCATGTGAGTGAGGGTTCTCAGGATCAGGCAGCAGCTAAACCCCAGTGTTCTTCCAGGTGCTCTGCCGAACAGCTTAAGGGGAAATTGACTAGTCAGTGTACTCAAACCACCCATTTTCCAACCAGCTGGAGAAGTTTCTCCATTTATTTTGACTTCACAGGCCTCTGGTAGGCTGAGATACCACATGGTTGTGGTTATGGAATCGTCTGTTCTCGAAACAGGAGGTAGAGGCCTGCCGGAGCCAATGTGACCAGAAGATAGGTTGCTGCTAGAGAAGGGAGAGTCACATTTGTCCTGCTCCCCCTTCTGCCTCCACGGCCCACTCCTCTCAAGAGCCGTTCTCTTTGTCCTTTTGTTTGTGTGTATGTGTTTTCCCTGTGACACTGGCAGTGAGGATACCTTTTCATCCAGAGAAAAGCTTGTCAGTGCTCCAAGAATGAATTTCCAAGTATTGCCGGAGGGGAAGGAGCAGGGGCTGTGACAGTGATGTAGCGTTGCACTTTGAGAGGATTGTCTACTGCAGTAATAAATGGAACGTATCAGCAGAGCAGGCTGCGGTCTTGTTAATACAAGGGCAGTGGGGACGCTGGCGGGTGGGTGGTACTAGCTGTGTCTATGTCTGCGTTTCAGTGCATTCCAGAAGTGTGTGGGATGGTATAGACAGGGCTGACATAGACGTATGAAAATAGTCTCTTGCTTTTTTGTTTGTTTGTTTGTTTGTTTTTGAGAAGCAGTTCCATGTAGCCTAGGCTATCCTTGAACTCAGTGTAGTAGAGGTTGACTTAGAACTTCTGAATTTCCTGCGTCTATCTTCCAAATGCTGGGGGTACAGGCATGAGCTGTTATTCCAGGTAAGTTTATGCAGTGCGGGGGCCTGAACCCAGGGCTTTGTGCATGCTACTCAAGTACTCTTCCAATGAAGCCCCATCCCCAGCCCTTTAATAGTATCAGCCATTGCCGTGATTCAGTATATATTTTTGTGACTGTTGGACAGTATCTCACCATGTTACCGGGCTTGCTGACCCTGGATTTACCATGAATCTCATGCCTCCGGTTCTTAAGTACTGGGATTGCAGGTGTATCCAGCCTCAGCTTACATATTTAACTGTCAGAAGAATGCTGTTCATTATCTTTAACTGGGGATAAGGAAAATTAGAGTAAAGACAAAGGAAACTCAAAGAACCTGGGAGATGATAGATCCCAAAATTAACCCATTAAAAATGGGCTGTTCATAATTGGAGACTGAGAAACCTGCACACATTCTCTGCAGGGCAGCATTACAGCTAAATTGCACAGGACTGTTCATGCTCCAGGAGAAGGTCTAAGTGCCTCTGAGGTCCCCTGGACTTGTGCTGGAGAAAGGGATCAGTGTCAGAGCAAGGTTATAAATCCTGTGCAGCTGCTCATGGGAACGGCTTTGTAGGGAAGCAGCGCTGTGCAGGAAAGATAGCAATAGTTTTAGAAGAACTTCTTAGCATTTGAGCCATCAAAATGAAGAGGCTGGCTGAGCCTGGGAGGAACAACAGGACAGAAGATCACCTGTTGGGAATCTGCCGAGGGGTTCCCAAGTGGCAGTCAAAGGTCGGCCTCATCCAGCTACACTGGGGGTTTCAGGCTGGCTCTACTATCGTTTGTCAGTGGTATTAGACAAATGATGGCAGCTCGTGAATTGAGCCCTGACAACCAAAGCAGACTGCTAGTTGGCTAAAAATATGCTAAATTTTCAGTTCTTGGTCACCTGGGATAATTGTGCAGTGTGTTTTAAAAGGATAGCTCTGTGGCCAGCCAGCCTTACCTGTGCCTGTCAGGAAGAGGTAGAAAAGGGGTGGTGTGTGGCTCCTACAAGCCCAGCAGGAAGTCTGCAAGGCACAGGGCAACAGGGAGCAGCAACGTTAGATCTCAGGAGCTCCAGCACCTGTCACACCCGCACCCACCCTTCCTCCCAGATAGCCCAGACCTAAGGCTCACATTCATTGCCTACTCTAGCTACCCACAGGACTGTCCTCTGCAAGCGTCCCAGCTCATCAGACTGGCCCAGACCAGCATTCGACTTTTCCAACAAAGTTTGTCTCCTCTCTAAATGGATTTCCAGGTTTTGTTTGTTTGTTTGTTTGTTTGTTTGTTTCTTTGAGACGGGGTCTTGCCATATAACCCAGGCTGCCCTTGGCTCTCTTATCTTTCTGTTTCACCTTCCCAAGCTCTGTGATTCTAGGCATGGACCACTGTGCCTAAGTGCACAGTGTGTGTTTTGTTTTTCTTTAATCCAGGAACTCAGGAGGCTGAGACAGGAGGATCACAAATTCAAGGATAGCTTCAGCTACATAGTGAGACTGCCCTGAAGCAAAACAAAAACTTTCCAAATTAGACAAACTGATAGATCCATATAATGAGATATGATTCATCAATAAAGAGAAAAGTACCAACAAGCCATAAAAAGATGGTTCCCTCGAATGCCATTGCACCTCCATGAACACTACGGAAAAAAAGCTATGGAGACAGGAAGGAGATGAGTAGCTGCTGGAGACGGGCCGGGGGTGTGAATAGGTAGAATGCTCTGTAGACATGGAATGATGGATTCCTGTCAGTACACATTTGTCAACACATTTGTCAACACATTGTAAACAAGCAGCGAATGCTCTTAATCACTGAGCAGCTGTCCAGCATCACAGCTGTAATATTGTCTGCTATGATTATAAGGCCACAGGTTCCTTTGTGACAAATCATTGTTGTCTACTATTTTATACTGTACAGTAGTTTTTTGTTTTATTGAATTAAGAGCACAAATAAAAATTCTACCTCCTCGATACTATATTAAAATGACTAGCCAGAAGTTGTGGAGCACACCTTTAATTCTAGCACTTGGGAGGCAGAGGCAGGTGGATCTCTGAGTTCATGACCAGCTTGGTCAACAGAGTAAGTTGGCTGCACAGAGAAACCATGTCTTGAAAACTTAAAAAGAAAGAAAAGAAAAGGCTCAAGAGGCAGAGGCAGGCAGATCTCTGAGTTCGAGGCCAGCCTGGTCTATAGAGTGAGTTCCAGGACAACCAGGGCTACACAGAGTAACCCTGTCTCAACCCTCCCTGCCCTCCAAGACTTATATAACATCCAACACAAACCGACCACCAAATACAGCAGGGATAAGTCTAACACGCTTACTAAGTGATCTTATAATTATAGATCATGATTTTAGTGTTTGTTTTTCTTGATCTCAATAAACCAAGACAAGTAAACAGGTAGTTAAGTCATCTAAGGACCATGCCAACTCTTCTGTTGGTTGTCCTGGCTCCAGTAAGAGGCCTTTCAAATCCCCAACCCTGTGGTCACAGGCGGAAGGGAACCCTTTGGTAAGTGTGCTACAAAAATGTCCCCTTCCTTCACTGCGCTTGTTTCTCAAGCTGAGCGTAGCTGTGTACATGGGACGTTTAAAGCCCGCACTAAGGTAGAGATAGATGGCTCCGTATGCTTGCTTGTGAGTGGTCACTATGGGATCGTTCTGCACACTCAGTTTGATCTGTTTGAACTTGTAAAAAACATTTATTTGTAGATCAAGTATGGTAGTGCATGACTTTAATCTTAGCAGGCAGAGCCAGGTGTATTTCTGTGAGGTTGAGGCCAGCAAGGTCTCCATATCACATTCCAGGACAGCCAGAGCTACAAAATAGAGAGACCCTGTCTCAAAACACAAACAAAAATCTATTCATATGTGTGCAGGTGTACGCACCCATGAATACATATGCAGAGACCAAAGGCTCGTGTTTTCTCTCTTTCTCAGTTACTCTTGACTTTTTAAATTATTATTATTGTCATCATTACTAATTGACAAGGTCTCTTTGTAGCCCTGGCTATCTTGGTACACTGTGGAGACCCGGCTGTCCTTTGCACTCTCAGTGATTCTCAACCTCACAGCTGCTGGGAGGAGAGAAGACCTTGGCAACAAGGACCACTGGCAGGGAAGGACCAGCTGGAGAAGTGCTCCCATTCCCGATGGTCAGAGTCAGATTTGCTTCAAGTGTATAGCGATGGAGGACAATTCCTGGTGCCACACCTTGAAAGTGAAGTGACATTACCCAAAGGCTACTCCTGACCCATCCTGAAAGGTTTGAAAACAAATCTTCAAAAGACTAGAGCAATTTCCAACCAAAGGGTCTGCTTGTCCTAAAAGCCCTGACACTCTTTAAAGGTGCACAGATAGTCCACCTGCCAAAACCATAAATCTCACAATGTTTGGTATCCAATAAAAATTCTTTGACACAGGAAGAAGAAGTGGAGAATGACCTTAGTCTAGAGAACAAACACTATAATTAGGCCCAACAAGGGCAAATTTTCCAAATTTCTATTTTAAATGAATCTCCAACGAACATTCCTTAGAGAACATTGGAACTAGAATCCCTCTTCTTGTCTCATTGGCCCCTCCCCATTCCCCCCTAGCAGTGAGCTGCGCCTAGTGACACACCCACACACACAATGGATCAGCCCTGTGCTGTGACCTTACTACCAAACCTATCACACCAGAACTCTTTGCCAGTCCCAACAACCTCCTCCAGAAAGTCTTCTCTGTCCTCCTGTGATATGTTCTTGCTGCCCTGTCTTTTCTTCCTTGCCTTTTTTTTTTTTCCTTTTCCCGAGGGCATGTTGAATGTGTGTGAGTATAAAATCATCTCCTTCAGAGAATATGAACTGAGGCCTGTGTGCTCTTGAATCGCCATGAGGAAGCAGCACCTAGTTCAGTCTTAGATTAAAAAAGGTCTTCCTGGACCGCCTGAATAGGTCGCTCAGCAGCTGCTCTCCGTAGTGTCTCTTCAGGTTAGGAACTGTGGCGCCCAAGGCATCGCCGGTTCCTGAGGCATGAAGTGCAGCCGGTGCTCTTTAAAGTCCTCTGACAAAGTCTGCGCTGGCTCTCCTCTGCTCGGGTGGGTTTGGGTCTAGTCCCCACCGGGGTATATGGTCCTTCCCAGCTGCCTCCACTAGGGGGCACTCCGGGACCTCAGTTCCCGCAGGACGCCGGTTTGCAACCGCTCTGTGTCGGCTCAAGCTTGTCTTCTAGAGAGAATCTGAAATCGCGAAGTCTGCAAAGCCTGAGACCCTCTGGGCGTCATGAAATCTGCAATGGATCTTACCTGCCCAGGAATGGGGCGGCTTTCTCACCCGAATCCTCCGCTCTCCAAGCCGGTCGCCTGAGGAAATGGGGGGCAGGGCTGAGGAGTCCCTGGGCCTTCACACTGATCCTGGACTTTAAAGGAAGGGAGTGCCAGATCTCCCCATCTTCACAGAAGCAGGCCCATCAGAAAATTTCTCTCTCCTCGTCCCCCTGCTTTCCCTTCCCCTCTCCTTCTATCTGTCCTGTCCTGTCTCTTGAGATAGGGTCTGGCTTCCATCTAACTCACTAAGTGGCAGAAGGTGACCTTGAACTCTTGGTCATTGCGCGTTCACCTCCGACATGCTGAGATGACAGCTGTATGCCACCACTCTAGAAAGGTATCTTTGACTTGGATAATTAAAAAATAACGTTAGTTCAATCTTTTGAAGTGCTAGGACGCAAACTCAGAGCTTCATCCATGGCAGGCAGGTGCTTTATTACAAGAGACACTCAGTATCCTGGTTTTCGTTTCGTTTGTTCGCTTTTATACATGAACGCAAACAGTAGAATAACTTACGAAATTACTTGGGGAAAAAAGGGGAAATGCTTTTGCTGATTGTAGACCAGCAAGGAAAGTGAATGGAGGGCACTGTGGGGCACCTAGAAAAAAACAAGACACACAACAACAACACACTCAAACATTGGTCAGACATTAAAGATGTATTTATACGTGTGTGTTTCTGTACGTATATGCCCTGTGTGTCCAGATACCCGAGGAAGCCGGAATAGAGCACTGGATCTCTGAGAGATGAGGTTACAGGTGGTTGTGAGCAACCTGGTGTGGGTGCCAGGAACTAAATTCATGTCCTCTGGAAGAGCACACCCAGCCCATCAGCCATCTCTTCAATGCCCACCTCCCGTTTATTTTTTAAAGCATAAGCGTCCATTTAGGCAAACACATTCTGGTTCGTCTTTTATTTGGTATTGAACCAAAGGCTAAAAATTTGCTCTGCTACTAAGTTATACCTTCAGCCTCTATAAACATGTGTGATGAAGGGAGCTAAGATTAAGGAAAATACAGATTGGTTTGGTTTGGTTTGGTTTGGTTTTTTTTTTTTTTTTGAGACAAGGTTTCTCTGTGTAGCCTTGTCTGTCTTGGACTCAGTTTGTAGACCAGGCTGGCCTCGAACTCATAGAAATCCACCTGCCTCTGCCTCCCTGAGTGCTGGGATTACAGGCATGCACCACCGTGCCTGGCTCAAAATACACATTTTTGAGCTTAAGTAAAATACACAGCTTTTAAGACAGGTAATGCAGGCTGGCCTCAAACTCAAAATCCTTACCTCAGTTTCCCAAGTGCTTGAATTATAGGCCCACCAAGCATAATTTTTTACTTACTATTCTTGACTTTCCTCCTTTGTTGAATTATTTTTCAGTGCCCAAGTGTGCCAGGCACTGTCATAGGGACCAGGGATGCAAGGTGAATTGATTAAGGCCCTATAAGAGTTTTCCCTAGTAGGAAGGACAGATGTGACCTTCAGGGAAAATCAGGGAGGCAGTCTTGGGCTTCTTTCTCCTTCCACTTTCCACTACCTACTGCTCTTTCACCTCTAGGCCATGCACTTCTCTTGATAGTAAGCCTGCTTGTCACTCTCAAGATGGAAACACTCTCACCCATGGGCATGGGCCTGAGGCCTGGTGGTCATTTTCAAAGGGGCTAGACACAGCACACAGCAAATGCTCACTTGTAGGTGTTTTCCTGCAGTGCTTTGGCAGCAACACAGCTCAGGTGGGTCCTGAAGCAGCTGCAGCGGCCTCTGCAGGTGGGTGGGTGAAGCCCCTGCGCCTGCTTCTCCAAAGAAGTGCTTCGTGCAGAAGTGAGGTAAAACACTCAAACATATACATTAAAAATAAATAAATCTAAAGGAAGCTGAGGAGCAAGATAAAGGGGAAGAGAGGACAAACATCTTCTCAGGAGGTCCCTTAAAAGTTTTGTTTTGCTTTTTTTAGCCCGTGGAAGACCACAGCTCACAACTTAGTCCCCCTGGATCTTGAGAGGGGCCTGCGCACCCCACACATTACTCACGATACCTTTGTGATAAACCCTCTCATAGGGAGAGGGCTCCAGCTGCCTAGAGAATGAGGACTCATGATCAAGCCCAGCCCCAGGTGCGGGCCCTGGAGCAGGCAGGTGAAGGGCAGGCTGTTCACCAGTGGACACAGCCCCTCAGCATCCCCCAACTCAGAGAGCAGTTTCCTCCCAACCTCAGGGCTGAAGCTGACACCCCCTTAGCGAAGACCAGCCACTGAAGCACTGCTAACAGTCAGCCTCTGCGGACACTGAAGAGCTGGGGCAGGTGGGAGCCTGAGTGACCTGGGATCCTCTGCCAGGCTGTTCCCCACAGCAGCCAGCATGGACGACCTGTCTGAGGCCTCTTGGGTGCTATATTCCCCCAGGTTAGTACTGGATCCCCAATCCAGCATCCCTTCCGGAAGAGAGGCAGTGGGGCTATCTGATACCAGCCTGCTGGCAACCTTCCCATCTCTTCACCTTCCTGGCCCAATCAATATGTGGACACAGTGACACCACCTGGTATCGAGAACACGGAGCCTACATCCTCTCAGCTTTGTTCTAGTGAAGTTTCTGGGAAATACCCAGTTAGCTGGGCTTGGAGCACCCATGTACCCAGCTTCTTCCTCGTAGAGGTTTTTATTGACATGAAAACAAGCATGAGCCTCAGAAGTTACTAAGAATACATTCGAAGGGAAGCTACAGGCCGACAGCAAAAGCCCACAATACATGACTGCTAAAGGACTTGTGTCGAGAATATATAAAGAACTTTTACAACTCAGTGAGAGACCATGCAACCAGAAATGGGTACAAGACTCGAACAAACATGGGACCAGAGAAGATACACAGAGGGTTAACAGAGACATGAAGCCCTAACCGGCGTCATTGGTCACTGGAGAAATGCTGTTTAAAACCACAGTGAGGCTAGGGTGTGGCTCAATTGGTAAAGTGCCTGCCTGGTGTGAACAAAGCCTTGGCTTTGATTCCCCAGCATCACATAAACTGGCCACGGGTGACACTCCTGCAGGCCTAGCCCTCTGGAGGTAAAGGCAGGAGGATCGGAAATTCAAGGCCAGCTTGTGTTACCAGAGACCTTAGAGAGAGAGAGAGAGAGTAGATAGAGCTATGGGGAGAAATCCCATGTCTGGAGCCTGAGGATGGAGGACGGAGAATCTGAGGCCAGCTTGGGTCACATAACAAGATACTACCAGGCAGGGCTCTTCAGCAGCTCATATATTAAAATTGGAACAACACGGAGAAGGTCAGCATGGTCCCCGCGCAAGGATGACATGAGATTTTATGTATGAAGCAGTCTGCATTTTCTGTAAGGGAGAGAAAGAGGCGATGGGTAGGCTCAGTGTCCTTACCTTGTATGAAAGTCCTGGGTTTGCTCCCCAACACTGCTAAACGAGCACGGTGAGACCACGAACGCTTATGCCGTGAGCCACTTTGGATAGCTAACAGACCTCTAGAAGTTTCCTACATGGGGAAGTGGGAGTGTTTTCAAAAGCGAAGCGTGATATTTAAAACATTTGCTATGCTAAATGGGCTCAGTGGCACACACTGTAATCCCGATAATGAGGGAGGCAGAGGCAGGCGGATCTCTGTGAGTTGGAGGCCAGCCTGCTCTACAAAGTGAGTCGAGGACAACCTGTCTCAAAAAAACTAACAGAACTTTCAAAGTCACAAATACCAATTCTCATTGTAGCTTAATATTATCAGATCAGACTGAAAACAGCTCTGGTACTCACCACGAACAATAAGCAATAAACTGGCTGTGGTGTATCCACCCAACAAGGTAGGAAGGAGACGACCTGTCCTGCCAGGGGCAGAGAAGTGTCTGCAGTGACGGTTCTTATACAAAAGAGTGGGAGGCTTGCTCTTGCCAAGCTGTGGGTGCAAAGGTCTTCACACCCTCTGGGGCCTGGCCTGGTCTCCCTGGTGTGCAGTGGTTTTCCCTGGCCTCCTTTATGGAAGTCCTGCCATTGTGGCCCAGCAGAAAGAGTGATTCTCCCTCCCTCCCCCACCACCCTTGTGTGTGTGTGTGTGTGTGAGAGAGAGAGAGAATGAACAGAGTCCAGTGACATTGGATTTCTACAAGAGCAGCAAGCTCTCTTAACCGCTAAGCCACCTGTTTCCTTCTTGTTGTCTTAATTATTGCAAAGAAACAATCAACTCCTGTAGTTTGGTAAGCAATACAGCGGACTGGTTTCCTGCAATCTGAAGGAAATGCAGAGCTCTAGCCCAGTGGCTCAGCCTTCACTCCCCCTCCTCACCTGTAGGCGGAGCTAGCTGTGTGTGTTGCAGATCAAAAGATGCAGCACCACGTGTAGCTTTCGATAGATGCACATCCAGGCCAAGACTGGTGTCGTTTTCACGGCAGCACATCTGCTCAAGTGTTTGCTTGTTTGTGTGCGTTAGATAGTCTCACAGCCACAGCCCTGGCCCACCACAGGCTTAGGTTTTATATTTAAATAGATCAAGACTCCTGTTGAAGCTTGCCTGTGCCTGTCTGTCCATGCCCAGGCCTGTTTGTCTAGATTTGGCCTTGGGTGGTGCTGTCAGGCGTACATTGGGTTTTTTTTTCCCCATGAGAACAGGTTAGGAGGCTGCATTCTCTTATAGTCAGTGTGCCCCTAGTCTTTGAAGCAATGCTTTTGCGGAATGACACAGTTTCTTTTAATAGCGTAGTCATATTCTTTTAATAAATGATTATTGAGGCTCAGCATCATACCAGGAAGTTGTTGTGGCTCCTCACACAAGCGTGCGCGCGCGCGCGCGCGTGCATGCGCACGCGCGCACACACACACACACACACACACACTCAGATCTCTGTGGCAAACCACCTTCCCAGTAGCCAACAGGAGGAAGATGCTCTGTGGACAGAGAGGTGCCTGGACCAACAAATAGCTGGCGTTATTGCCAGCTTTGGGAGAAAGGAGTCCTGACACAGGGCTGCAGCAGGGAGAACGGTGGAGACCTCAGCTCAGAGCAGTCAGGCAGACACTGGAAGGACAGGTGCTGTTGGAGTCTGCCTGTGTGAGGAACTCGGATGAGTCAAATTCCTAGACACTGCATGGAAGATCAGTTGCCGGGAGCTGGAAGAGGGCAAGGGATTGCTGGTTTCAAAAGTGCCTTTTTTCTTGGGGGGTGGGCTGGGGGCTGAGGGGGTCTCATGGAACTGAGGCTGGCTCCAGATGTGCTGTGTATCCTACAATAATCTTGAGCTCCGGATCCTCCTGTCTCAGCCTCCCAAGTGCTGGGATTGTGGGCAGAATGGCAGGAGTGTCTGTGTCAGATGGTAACTTCATCACAATCAAAGCCACACAGAACCTAAGCGTGGAGCTCACACCTGTAATCTCAGCCCTCAGCAGGCTGACGCAGAAGGATCAAAAATTTGAGGCCATCCTGGACTACACAATAGGACTCTGTTTTAAAAAGGATGGAAGGAGAGAGAGAGAGAGAGAGAGAGAGAGAGAGAGAGAGAGAGAGCATTGCTAGAGCCTCATACACCCTGTCTTATCTTATGCCTGCTCCCCAGAACATCTCTCAACACGCACCATCACCAACTTCTAACATTTTTCTCTTGGTGTGGACTTTATACAAACATTCAGGATTCTTTTCTGGGCTCTTTTCTATCTGCCTTTCTTATATTGACATGAAGTTTCTGAGAGCTATTCAGGTTTTCATGTGTTCATTTTCAGTGCTATGTAGAATTAATGCTGTATGAGTTTCACCATTAACAGGCACGTGGATTGTTTCTAGTTTGGTCTTTTAAGATGCCTGCTTTTCAGCATATGCCTTTCTGTTTGGTGCATGCTGGGAAATCTGTCTCTTCTTCTTGCTCCTTTCCCCCCTCTTCCTCTCCTTCGTGTGTGTGTGTGTGTGTGTGTGTGTGTGTGTGTATGGTTTTGGGGATCAGACCCAAGGCCTTTCCCGTTAAGCAAGCTACTGAATTGCACCCCTATTAGTTCTATTGTTTTGTAAGTTTTCTGCTCAGCATGAATTTCTCAGTTAATTAAAACTATCTATAGCTCATTCATTTCAGTAAATGGCCATGTTTTTTCTTACAACCATATTGCTTTGAATATATATATATGTATATGTATATATATATATATATATATATAATTTATCTTTATTTATTTGTGTGTGTCTATGTGAGCGGATGCCATGTGTGCCTGAAACTGGCATTGCAGACACTTGTGAGTTGAGAACTGAACTCAGGTCCTTTAAAAAAAGCAATCAGGGCTAGAGAGATGGCTCCAAAGTTAAGAGCACTGGCTGTTCTTCCAGAGGTCCTGAGTTCAATTCCAGCAACCACATGGTGGCTCACAACCATCTATAATAAGATCTGGTGCTTCCTTCTGATACACAGGCATACATTCAAACAGAACATTGTATACATAACAAATAAATAAATAAATAAATAAATAAATAAATAAATGTTTTTTTTTAAAAAAAAAGAGCAAGCAGTGCTCTTAACTACTGAGACATCTCTCTAGCCCCAGCTCTAAACATTTTTAAACATCTTTCCTCCTCTCCTTATGAATTTGTATGAAGTTCTTCAAATAGTTATGCCTAACTATAACAGGACTGCTGTCCCCAAATGGGTAGCATCCTTTAAGGGTGGGGCAATATGAATTTCTTCTGCTTCAGTGAGCTGGGCTACCTTCTCTCATCTTCTTCAGACTGGGATTTACACCCTCAGCTCTGCTGCTCCTCACGTTGATACAAAATCTCACTCGCTACCTGGTTTCCCAGGGACTTCAGCTTGCAAGGAACAGGTCAGCACAACTCTCAGCCTCCACAACCTCCTGAGCCAGTTCCCATAGGAATCTCTTTTTAGGCATCTCTGTGAATCCCGATATTCTCTTCCTCTAGAGAACCATCAAAATACCACGTGAAGCTACTGTGCAAAACAACTTGACAGTCCCTAAGAAGGCTGGGTGTAGGAATACCATATCACCTAGCAAATCACATAGATTCATGAGAAATAGAAGTCCACAAGAAGATGGGACATGAATTTCCGTAGAAGAATGACTCTTTGTATTTAGAAAGTAGAAATAGACCCAATGCCCACCAAGTAATAAACAATGGTACATTCATCCAACAAAATAGTATTCTGCCACAAAAAAAAAAAAAAAAAAAGAATAAGTACTGGTGCTTACCACCACCTAGATAAACTGTCACCACCTGAGAGGCGGTGGGACCCGAGACAGAAGCTGAGAAAGAGGTGGACTAAGGTCTCATGCAATATCCAATTTATTCAGAGCATCAGGCAGTTTATTCTGAGGGTTAAGAAGGGTCACTTGAGTAAAGCGTACAGCCACAAGGACAAGCTACACGTGGCAAAAACAACAACAACAAAACAACAAGCCACATTTTCCCATAGAGACATATAAACACTGGGTTGATAACAGCAGCAAGCGATAATGAATAAGCTGCAGTAAACTCACCCCTAGCCACTCTACACCTGGGAGGGGCACAACAACACATTTCCAAGAACCATTCCATGTTTTGAAAAAACTGAGGTCACAAAGACTCATGGCTTGTTTTCTTGGAGTTTTCAGACAGTGAGCCTTGGAAACACTTTTAGAAAGTGAAAGAAGCCAAACAGGGGTTCATGCATGGCACTAATCTTGAATGAAATACCTAGAGCGTTCAAATCTGTGGGGATGGGAAGCAGGACTATTGGAGACTTAGAGGTTAGAAGTGGAACGGCTTCCTAAGGCGTACGAGGACTCTCTGGATGATGACTAAGTTTTGGAACTACAAGGGAGTGGTGGTTGCTCAATGGCATGGAAGCATCCAACGCCATCACTGTACATCACATAAAAGAAAGGAAGGAAGGAAAGAAAAAGGCCAGTTGAAGTGGCACATATCCGTAATCCCTGCGGTTGGCAGGTAGAGGCAGGAGGAGCAGAAATGTAAGTCATCCTCAATACATAGTAAGTTCGTGGCCACCCTGGGCTACAGGAGACCCTGGTTTTGGTTGTTGGTTGGTTTTTTTGTTTTGTAGTTGTTTTGTTTTGTTTTTTAGAAAGAGAGAAAGAAAGAAGGAAGGAAAAAAGAAAGGAGGGAAGGAAGGAAAGAAAGAAGGAAAAGAAAGGGAGGAAGGAAGAAAAAGGTAGGCAAGTAAGGAGGGGCTGGGGTCAGCTCTTTAAGTGCTTGCCTCACATCCTTGAAGCCCTAGCCTGACTCACACGCGGAGAAAGAAAGGCTGTTACTGATTATATGTGCTATGTTAGTTATCTTTTCATCAGTGAAGCAGTCATCGGAGGCTGCTGCCATGGCTAGTTGGCCCCATTGTTTTAGGGTCT